TGTGATGTGGGCAGTGCCCACTTTAAAGATGTTTTCAGGATCTTTGAAGGGCTATCCTTACATCCCAGACATTTGGGATGTAGATTGACAGTCAAAAGGACAAATTGGGAGGGTGCAGAGAGCCTCCAACACAGCTTTAAATTTGAGCCCACAGGGGCACTGAAGATTCAGCACCAAAACAGAAGTACCCTTAGTTCCCTGCACGGCCAGTACTACCTTATTCAGTCTTCAAAGACCATGGCAATGAAGTAACCAGTCACAGCTCAGAACTGGTGAGTAGGGAGGGCAGAAGTCAGGTTTGGGTCATCAGGTGCTCTTTGTACTCGTCTCCCCCTGCATCCCACCTGAATGTCTCCTCTTTGGTTCTCAGTTATGTGATTTCCCTTTCCAGTCTCCTCTATCTCAATAAAGGTCAAGTCACAGGCCAGCTTCTTGACCTCATCTTCTCTTCCTTTCACTTATCAGAAAACCCTGTGGGGTCCTCCCAAACATGTGCAGAATCCCCCCAGTTCTGGTCATCTGCCCTGCGGCCATCCTGGCCCCGTGTCTCTCACCTTTGTCATGGGAAGAGCCTTCCATAGCCACCTGACTCTCCATCACCCTGCACCAGCACACTCAGCCTCCAAGTGTCAACTATGCAAGCCAGGCAGTGAGGCGCCTCTGCTCACACCTCGCTCCCAGGACTCGGTCAGGGCCAAGTCCTCCCGCCCTCTGCAGAGCCCAATATTGCCTGTTGTGTTTACCTTTCTGAAAATCGCCTCCTGAACCTGGATTCTTGCCTCCAACAAGAATCAGCCCTAGCAACACTGGCCTCCTCCGTGTGTCCAGAACAGGCACCCAGATACCCGCTCAAGGCTGCAGGACCTGCTGCTCCCTCAGCCTAGCCTGACCCCTGGAGAGGCCATGGTTTCCTTGCTTTCTTCCTCACCGTCAGGGAGCTGCTCACAGTAAAAGCTGCCTTGTTTCTCCTTTCTCTGCATCTTTTATCATCATACTGGACCCGCTTCCTTCCTTCCTTTTGAGCTTTGTGAAGGCATCTCAGGACCACATTCTAGACAAGGAAGAACACTCTAGTCATTCCCCAAATCCCAATCCAGTGACAGGAGGAGACAGTGTGTACAGGACGTAGAGCTTACTCTTAGTGGTCAGGTAGTTCATCTCAGGCCGGGGTCAAGTGGAATTCTGCATAGATTTCTCTTTAGTGGATGGACAGAGGAAACCTGGCCTGGCACCACAAGGGCAAGGAGGGTGTAGGGAATAAAGAGGAGTTGCACCTCGCACCACCCTGTGCCCGGGATCTTTTACTACTGCAGGCTGTCATTGCCTTGGTCTCACACTGAAGTGCCTGGGAAAACAGGTCTCAGCTCAGTGACAGAACGTGACCATGTGCTACCATCCCAAATGTCACTCAAATTCCAAAAGGCACAGCTTTTCCAATCACAGTGAAACTGAGTATCTCACCCTAAGATGATATTTTTTTCTCTTTTCAGTTAAATGTCAGAATTATACCACTTTAAGTGTCAAAAGAACAATATAAAATAAGAAAAAAATGTACCAAGTGTGAGATTTTCCATTCTGACTTGCTAATACTATATTCAGATCCTTGAATTATATCAATTAAATTCTTGGTTATAATTAACAAGGTTCTCAAATGAGCCAATTCTCAGAGAGACTAAAAAGCTAATTTGAGTGATTTCATTTCATTGTGCACATGGCTAAATGGCAGAGCGTCCTGATTTTCTTGAGGGCACGAGGCGGGCTACAATCCATCTCAAGTTCCACTGCACTCTGAGAGACCCCAGTCACTGAGGTTAGCAAGCCAAGGACACCTGTCTCCATGTGCCCAGTACAATGACAGCCACTGTTGAGTTTTCCTTTCTGGATTTTCATGGCCAGACTATTCCTTTTTCACTGTGGACCCCTCTGGGGTTTGGACACTTAGGTCCCTTGGATGTAGCAGTGGCTATGAGAAACTGACTTTAGGGTTCAGATTGTCCTGGGTCCAGACACTAACCCTGTCGCTGTGATAACAGTGCCACATGCAGGATGGCTGAGGAAACAGATTTACTCCCATACTTATAGAAGCCAGAAGGCCAAAATCAAGGTGTCAGAGGACCACACTCACCCCTGAGACTCTGGGCAGGATCCTTCCTGTAGATGGTCATCAGTCCTTGGGCTCATTTGTTTGCTGCTGCACCACTCCAACCTCTGCCCCGACTGCAGAGGTTGTATGTCACACAGCAATTTCCTCTTCTTTTAAGGACACAAGTCATATTGAGTTAGCTCCCACCCTGATAATCTCATATTAATTTGGTCACATTCACAAAGACCCTATTTCCAAATAAGATCACATTCACTTGGGAGAAGAGGGCAAAATGCAACTCATTAATGTCAATGACCCCCAGCTTTCTCACTGTCAAAAGCAGACTGTCCTGCAGGCTCCTTGAATCTGTGAGGAGTGTGTGAAGGGACAAGAAAGACCTTTGCACTTGTTCAATGCTTAAGAAATCTTGCCTCTTTCCTCTCTCCCAGTCCAATATTTTGTGTCCCACTCTTTATTCATACTCACTACATAAGCAATCTGGTAGACACTATGAACTGCAGATGGCCTCCACCCTAGGGACTCACACACTGTGAAAACAGGTCGGAGTTTGTAATGCAAAACAGAAATTTTGTCTGGAGAAACACACACAGGCAGTCCTGAGGGAGGACAAAGAAGTACTTCTAGGTGGCTTTCCAAGGGCCTTACAGAAAGTTTTCTGCAAATCTCTTGGAGTCTGAAGGCTCAATCCAATACTCCATTCTAGGCTTTTCCTATTGGAACACAGCGTACTGTCATATTCCTTGCTCCTTTTTAGCTGTGGGAACACTATTAAAACGCAATCCATGCTAGCTCAGGAGAGGCACTGATGTCATCCTGAGTGGATGCCCATCACCTTCCCGGTGGTCCACACACTGCGCCATGCCCACTGCTCCGGCTTCTGACCTTCCTCACACACACTCCCTTCCACCCATTTGCTCTGCTCGGTCATGTCCTGGAAATTCCTTTCTTTTCTGCAGCAACCACAATATGACCAGGAAAAACCATGGGTGCCAACTTCTGTGTCTGGTGTGTAAGAAATCACGTTCTTGTACCTGCCAAAAATTAAAAACTTCTGGACACTTCAGTCATCCAAAAGTCACATCTGTTCAGTGTGACCAAAATGATGAGTGAGATTGTTCACGTCCTTTGTTCCTGGATTCACAGCTTCAGTGCTCCGTCTCTATTATTGCTGTTTGCACTGTTGTTAAACCCTTCTTCACCCCGAGTTTGACACATACACACCATACTTGAGAAGAAAGGCTGGTTGCTAACACTAATGGATGTATTTGGGCTGGTTCATGACTAGAAAGATGGTGGACATCCTCAATCCAGGAAAAACATAGATGCTGAGATTTCCATGAGAATGCCAAGAACTTAAGAAAGGAAATAGGAAATGTCTTCTACTGAAAAGTGAAGTGGGTATTGTCCTGGTTCGTTCAAGTGACTATGAGAAATTACCACAAGTGCATTTCTTATAGCTCATGAGGCTCTGTCTAAGATCAAGGCACCCACAGATCTGGTGTCCTCTGTCCACCTGTTTCTTGGTACATAAAGAGCATCTTGCTGTGCACTCATGTGACAGAAGGGGAGATCTCTGGTCTCTTCAGCCTCTTCTAAGGGCACCAATGCCATCAGTGAGGACCCCCACCCTCATGATTCACCAGCTCCCAAAGTCCCCAGTTTCTAACATCATAACATTGGGAACGACATTTTCAACACTTGAATTTTAGGAGACCCAACGTTCCGTCTGTAACAGGTGTATCTTAGTCTGTGCTGTAGACCAGACCCATAATTACTGCTGCAGTGTGCCCTGTGCTGGGTCCTCACATGGCAGAGCCAGGAGAAGTTAAGAGGTGGTGTGGATGCGTCTGGCATTACTGCCCATGGCATGTTGTTCAGAGGCAGGGAAGTAAACAAAGCTGTGCCATCAGTACTCACCATTTCGTGATTGCCCCAAGGTAACTGAAAAACTCATTGTAGAAGATGTCAAATGTTCTGCTGCATACTTTCAGTGAAACACTATAGTATTGTACAAAAAATAACAGAAAACCCATGGTGTAAGTTTTGGCATTGAGTCCCCATCGGCTTGCAGAGCCTCCCAACACGAGACTCAGAACACAGAAAGGTGCAGCTGCATAAGTATTTGCTCATCTGTTTTTCTTCTCTCCTTCTTCTTCCTCCTCCTCTTCTTTCCACATCTCCTCCTCCTGCTCAACCTCATTCTGTTCCTCCTCCTTCTTCTCTTCTTTGCATGCACGTTAGGTCAAATATCATAAATGCAAAGGGATTTTCACATAAATGTTTTAATGAATGATAGGATTCTGAAAGTCACTTTTGAAAAAGCTGTAGGAAAACTATTGCTGTGAATTTCAGCTAGGGAGTGGACATGCTTTCTAAGTTAAAATTTTCCTTCAAGATCATTTAAAAATACTGCATACCTAATAAGTGGGGGAGAAGCTATTCTCCCTCTCACTTAGATAAAACTTGTAGATTTTTAAATATTTCTTTATAGTGGACTCTAACAACATTGAGGTTTACTCTCAAGTGCTAATAAAAACAGATGTTTGAATTTCTTAAAAGCTGTATTTTTTAAGAACAAACCAAATGTTTAAATGACAATTGCTAGATTTGTTTTTGTTCTCTTGGAATTTTCTTTGAATAAATAACTCGTATCACTCCATGACAGTGCTACACATAAATTAAAAATATATCTGACTCATTTAAAAGATAATTTTTCCCTGTAAGGAAAAGGGTTGCTTGCATTTTGGCTGCTGAGTGCACAGTGGTTGGGGCCTTGGGGGATTCCTGTGATAAAGTATGAGAATTTGAGAAACTATGTGATAAAGACAGCCCTGTTGAATACAGTCATCTGCTTTCAAATGCAGTCATTTTTCCTTGTTCCTGCTGCTTTTGACAGATACAAGCCATTGGCTGATGTACTCCTGGGTGAGAAGAAGGATGGGTCTGCTGAAGAGAGATGTCGGCTTGTTCTCCAGCACTGTAAATTACAAGGCTGGCAGGTTGGTGACCTACGAGCTATGAAAACACCAGGTTGGGATTTTAAAGGCACGAGCTGAGTTGTGGTGGGGAGTCACCACAGTCCTCCTGGCAAAAACAATTTCCTTTGATGTGTTTGGCAAGGCACAGCATTAAGTGTGTTCCCTGGAAATGTACCAGTCTTTGTGATTTATGGGTTTTAGCATCAAGCAGCCAGCATGAGGCAATCCAAGAGACTGTCTTTTACACTGACAGGAGAAGCTAGTGGGGCTACATTCAGCTTGGCCATGCCTCAGATGCGTACCTGGTCACTAAAGCTTTTCCAAGTGTCTACAACTGTTGAGTTAGTCATCGTTCTATTACTGTGGCTAAACAACTTACAAGGAGGAAAAGTACATTTAGACTCACAGTTTCGGTCTATGTCTATTGACTCCACTGCTTTTGGGCCTGTGGTGAGGCAGAACATCCTGGCAGGAGCACATGGTGGAGAAAATCTGCCAATCTCATAGCATTAAAAAAACATAGAGAGACAGAGAGAGAGGAAGGGGCCCCAGGCCACAACATCCCCTTCAAGGACACTTCTCCAGTGACCTAACTTCCTCTTACTAGGCTCCACCTCTTAATTATTCTACCACTTCCCACCAGTGCCATAGACGGGGGATCCATCTTCAACACATGAGCTTTAAGGTTTCACCTAACACACAAAGTATAATGGTAACAGCAGTCACAGAATGAAAGGGAGGAACTCAGGCTGATGTAATTGTTCCAAGTGGGTATCTCGCAAGTACTCATTAGACCTGGACCAGCCAGTCTCCTACAAGTTGTGCTTGGGCTCCTTTCTTCTGATTCTTTTTGTCCTGCATCTCACCTGCCACACAGTGAAACTGTCGCTACTTGTGAGGCTCATTGGGTGGTGACAAGCTTCGTGATTTGTAGCATTTCACAGAGGTCAGTGTTCCAAGTAAAGCAGAGTCCATGGTAGCTATCACTGAGCCAGCAGAGGTAGGAGATAACTGGAGATGAAATGGCACGGAGCACACCCAACACATGGAAGGGGAAGTTCTGGGCTTTATTAATACCTGAAATGACGTCTGAATACCATCGTTGACCTGTTTTAGGAAGAAGTCAGTTGGGTGAGAAGGTTAATATTATAGTAATGGAAGCAGAATGAAGTCCGCGATGACAGGAGCTACTGGGAAGTTTCTAGCCATGAAACACCTGAGAGTGCATAGGAGGTTAATGTCTTTGCTAAAACATAGCAGATTCTGGAAAGCAGACGTAAATCTCACTTTGGAAATTGATAGGTAGAACATCCTCAAGTAACAATGTGTGATCATTGATGAGACGCAAAATGAGAGCTTTGCTTCATGAATGTATGAGCAGATGTTCAGGATGGCAGGATGTGTCTGAAAGTGGCACAACTCATGTGGGATGGACAGAGAGCACCAGATTATCACAAGCACACTCATCTGCCCACGACAAACAGCAAAGAACCCTGGCACTGATGACTCATGATCTGATTCTCTGTACCACCCAGTCTCTTTGTTGTCTTCCCCCTGTTCTTTCTTTTCTCTAACTAATAATGGAAGTTGAACTTTAAATCACAGTCTGAAGGAGGAAGCTTACTCACTGTCATTGTCATGGGTGCACATCAGTGCCGAGGGAATGGGTAAAAAAGGAAAGAGGAAGGAGGAATTACTAACCAAGAGTGATGCCAGCTAACCACACTGGACCCCTGACACAGATGTGGCACTCACAGGAAGCATGATCTGTGCAGCTCGTAGGTGACTGAAGTCATTTCAAATGAATCAGTGCTGGGGTTTTTGAATAATTGTGCACTAGTGATTCACGGATAACATAAGGCCAAGATTGTCAGGTGGTGTATTTTCCTTTAAAGAATACTCACAGGTGGATGGATGGATGGATGGATGGACAGACGGACAGACAGATACACAGGTAGATTCTTTCCACACACACACACACACACACACACACACACGCTGACAAAACAAGGGAATCAGGAATCATTCTTCCACTAAGAAAGTGGCAGTGGACACCATACCCAATCAGGGGTCCCTGCAATACATCACACAAGATGGTGTCAAGTGTGGGAGGAGTCTGGGAGAAAAATTGGTACCTACTGGCAGCCATCATTCCACCTAGGTCTGTGTTTGTGCCAGGATTCTTGAAACTGCAGTTGCAGATGGTTTAAATCAGAGGATACACTGAACCTTTGAAAAAGAACATCAAAATTTTCTGTGGGGAAGGGCTCAGTGCACAAATCCAATTCTGCTCCTTTCAACTCTACCTACAAGGAAGCTGAAAATATAAGGTGGGAGGGAGAAAGAAAGAGAGTGGAAGAGAGAAAGAGGGAAAGACAGAGACAGAGAGACAGAAAGGGAGAAAGAGAGAGAGAAATTCATTTTCTGAGTGTGTCTGCTTATGCATCTCAGATCCTTTCATTAGGAAAGACTGCTTTTCTTCAGCTTCTTCAAGGTGAAACCTTTTATATACTTTATGCTACAACACAAATAATTGACTTCACAGAAATAAAGCCAACTCATATTTTACTTTTATGTTAGACAGCAAAAGAATTTTTGTTAAAAAAATCACTTATTCCTGACCTACAAAGTCAGACTGCTCAGTTTCAAAAGCAAGACATTTGTTTGAAATGCGCTGATTCTTACAAGAAGAGCTGCTATCAACTCCATTCTAGATTGTTAATCATTCAAAGTTAAGTAAGGAGCTGTGTGGATAACGGAGAGTTGACACACCTGTAGCACCCCCCCACACACATTGCCATGAGTTATCACTTGTGCTTTTATTAAGCAGCCAGTGTTCATCCTTTGGCCCTAAATGGTTAGCATAGAAGTAATGGTTATTATTTTTCATATTTTTAGAAGCAATACTAGAAGATAGAAAAGAATAGAGTCGTTTTTACTGGGTGAACCTGTATACAGTGCTATCCAGAAATTCAATTTTCTTAACTGGCAACATCCTCTGGTTGGATCTTGAGGTGGGTCTTAGAGATCATGAGGGTTGGTCACCCCTCCTTAACTTTAATCAGACCCTGTGTGAGGACAGCCTTAAGTGATCAGAATGGGATTCCAAGTCCATGGTTCTCAGGACCATCAGTGTCTCTGTCTGTTCCAGGAGAGGGTGGAGACATCTTGTCTTCAGTGTTGTTACATCTGCATAATTTGTAGATGCTTGCTACTTATTCTTTATGTAGTCTGGGCCTTGGAGTCTGTATAAGGAATTTTTCATGTTTAATAAATAACAATTTCATCGGTACAATGCGTTATAACTACTCAGAGCTTATTACTTTGTTTAAGCCTACTAACAGCTGTATGCAGAAAGAGGAAACACAGGGTATGGAGTAACGACCTCATTTTATTTATTTATTTTTTTATTTTTATTTTTTTTTCATTTTTCTTTTATTATTCATATGTGCATACAAGGCTTGGTTTATTTCTCCCCCCTGCCCCCGCCCCCTCCCTTACCACCCACTCCACCCCCTCCCGCTCCCCCCCTCACTACCCAGCAGAAACTATTTTGCCCTTATCTCTAATTTTGTTGTAGAGAGAGTATAAGCAATAATAGGAAGGAACAAGGGGTTTTGCTGGTTGAGATAAAGATAGCTATACAGGGCATTGACTCACATTGATTTCCTGTGCGTGGGTGTTACCTTCTAGGTTAATTCTTTTTGATCTCACCTTTTCTCTAGTACCTGGTCCCCTTTTCCTATTGGCCTCAGTTGCTTTAAGGTATCTGCTTTAGTTTCTCTGCATTAAGAGCAACAAATGCTAGCTAGTTTTAGATGGGAAGAAATTGAATGTCAGAGAGCCCTGGTCTCTCAGACCAGTGTCCTGATCAAAACAGTAGGTGTGCTTCTTGTTTAGCTCAGTGTGGGAAGGCTACCTTGCTGATACCTGCATGTAACTTCCTGTGCTCTGTCCTTTGCATTGCATTGAACTCAATGTGCATCTTTTAATGTAGCTATCTGAAGTCAGATGGTCACTTTGTCCAGATTTCAGAACTTGAAAGGCATAGAGTAAGTGCACTTTGATCAAGGGCGCTTATGTTGTCCTTTATTAGTCTGAGCAGCCTGACCCTCCCAGTTAATGACTTTTTATGTTTATAATTCACCACACAGATGAAGGAAAATCGAATGGCTGTTTCCGGCTGCAAGGCTGACTCTGTTCAGAGTCCTTTGTACTCAAACAGTCAGCCACTAGGCCTGAAGTACACATGGGCATTTGCACCCTGCGTGCAACCAGGAAGAAAGGAGGAGAAGAAAGGAAGGGAGAAAGAGAGGAGGCAAAGGACTGCCATCCAGTGGAGTTTGAGGTCAACTCTAGACTGATTGTGAAGACCTAGAAGCCACCCAGGCGGCCTGAGGAAGTGGCAGGAGTGAGAGATAAGTCAGTGGACAAGTGAGTCAGGGTAAAACTGAGCAGAGGCAGCTGGAAAACCATCATATTCCACAGCTCCCAGACCCTCCATGCCTGCCAACCTGCTACCCCCTCACCCTTTCCTCTGCTTATTCTTCCCCCAGTCCCCAGTGCCTCCCTCAGACCTAACTCTGAAGTCTTCACCACAGTCATCAGTAGCCGCTCCCCTACCTGCAGGTCCCCCAGAAAGGACCTGTGTCTGTCTCTCTACCAGAGGAGACAGAAAGGACAGGGCAAACCCTATGTTCTGGACCAAGAAATGTGTCTTTGTAAATAGAAAACTTCCAACATAAACATAGAAATCTGGTATAATTCACAACAAAAACTTAACTGATGATATCTAGGGAATTCTTCTGAGATAAGAATAGATGTCATTTTATCTTATATCTATGTTTATAAGATAAATGTATTAATGTATTGCTTCTATGATGAAAAATGCTTTTAAAATTTGTGAACACTGCATAAAAATACTTGAAACGGTTTGCAAGAACCAAATTAATTTTTTTGAGCATTCATGGAAAGTCGGTAGACAACACTGCTTTGTTCCAAAGCATTTCTGCTTTGCAAGA